AAGGAAGGGAGGACGTGCCAGAGGAGGAACCTTTGAGGTATTTCAGGGAACTTTTCCTCCAACGCCATGGCTCGTCCTACTTGTCATTTCTGCGTTTTTACAAGTTCCCAGGCTCTGCGATTGCTGCAGGGACCAGAGCCGCGTTTCGCCCCCATAGTGACCTCTTAGTGACCTTGCGATTTTCTTTCTCTGTTAATACCTCCTAGTTGTATGATGATTAGTACAGTCGTGTTCGCTGCTCACGTTTGGGCGTATGAGGGGAGGGGGTTGCCGCTGCGCGAGCCAGTTTTCCACCAGATGTGGTTTGCCTGCCAGGCTCCACGGCTGGTGGAGAACGGGCTGGCGCCACGCCAAACTCAACTCCTCCTTTCCCTGATACGCCCCAGCGTCTGCAGCGAGCAAGAATGTAAGCTTTGACACTGTGTAAAATCACAGAACCTTGGAATTTTCTCGATTGTGATGCTGTTACCTTTCAGGCGTTACATACGGTTGGCCGTCGTCCGCCAGTGAACTCCCAGATTGACTGCGTGGCCAGTCGCAACCTAAAACGCCTTCCAGGATTGATTGATATTCATGTGCACGTCAGAGAACCTGGCGCAACTCACAAGGTTAGTTCTAGCCTACTTAACAACTTACTGCTTCCAGTGTACCACTATTTTACAGGAAGACTGGTACACTTGCACCCGTGCAGCTCTGGCCGGTGGTATCACACAAATATTGGCAATGCCCAACACAAACCCTCCGCTCATTGATATGGATAGTTATCAGGTCGTTGAAAAGGTAGGAGTGTGCAGTTGTTATCAAAGAAGTTAGTCGAGGCGTGGGTTTGAGCGCGACGCCAGCCCTTTTTCTACCGCTCAGCCATACAGGGTACTAATCGGCGCCAGCCCAGTACAGGGGATATGCCGCCTACGCACTAGTTGGTGTTAAGGAAGGAGAATAGGAAAGGGTACTAGACCGTAAGTGGTTAGGTACTGCGTAACATTCTCATTCTCCTTCTCTTAATCAATTCACTGACAGCCGTTTGCCGATACGATAAATGTTTATCCCTGTCTTCGGCAGCGTGCCCAGACTGCGGTGACGTGCGTCGGGGCCGCTGGACGCAAAATGGACGCGGTTCCTGTCGCGCGTCAATCGGCCGAAGTCTGAACGGCATGCCGAAAATGCGTGCTTATTAGCTAGTGCTATAAATGCAAACAAAGGCTCACTTTATTGCTCATCCTCATGTTTTTCAGCTAGCAGCAAACAATGCTGTAGTGGACTACGGTCTGTATGTTGGTGCAACACCAGGAAATGCCCGAATTGCGTCTGAACTTGCACCAGCGGCCGTCGGGTTAAAGATGTATCTGAATCAGACGTTCTCAACCTTGAAAATGGATTCAGTTGCTGATTGGGTGAAGGTCCGATAAATATCCAACTTTTGATGGATTACTTATCACTAGAAATTAAGCATCGATAATTTTAGCACTTCGAATCGTTCCCGACGTCACGGCCAATAGTCTGTCATGCCGAGAAACAAACTGTGGCTGCGGTTCTTTGTGTGGCACAGATGACTGGTCGAGCTGGTTAGTGAATTGTTGCTTGTACAGCAGTATTCAGACTTCACGACAACGCTTGTTGACGCGCTGTAAGGCAGCGTTCATACTTCGCGACAGCAGCGGCGATCGCGGCGACTCGGCGATCGCCGCGATCGCCGCTGCTGTCGCGAAGTATGAACGCTGCCTAACGCGTGGCGACGACGAGCTACTCTTTCAACGCTACGTACTAGCCCCTAGTGTTTTGAGAGAGAGTATAGAAGAACGGGAGGGTACCAGACTGAGTGGAAGCAGCGCCTATCCTTCTATAATACAGTCGCGCGTTAACGCGCGTCATCGCAAAGTCTGAACACTGCCTACTATGAGCTACTTATCGGGGTACCAATGTAGCTATGGGAAGGGAATGCCCGCAGCTACATTAGTACCCTGACAGGATCAGAGAAGAGACCCGGCTGCATTCACTCGGTCACCTCGTTCCATAGGAGTAGGTTTGTCTGGAGGTGGAGTCATTAACTCGGTGGTAGGGCGCAGGCGAGCAGAGAGGTGCGTATCGCCGTGATTGAGTGAGTGGATCTCTCCCACTCGATTACTCAGAACTCTTTGCGTCAGTGTTCCAGTTCCCTTTCTAGAATTTTATAGCGCAGTTCGGCTTGGAAGGGGGTGACATTTGGCACTTTCACTACTTCCCATCGTCGTGACGAGCCACCAAGTAGAGATCTGTGAAACCCTGTGAAATCTGGAATGATACCAATCGAAGTTTGTGGAGGCTATTAGTATAAGTGCAAAATGCCCCATCCACGCTGAACTGCGCCGATTTTCCCTTTTTTCCTCATTTCTCGATATTGATGATTTCTTCCCATTTCAGTGCATATCTGCCATGTTTCAAACGCAGAGGAGATCCAGTTGGTCCGCGATGCCAAGCGAAAGGTCCGTATCTCCATTTAATCCGATTAAACCAGATTTCTTAGAAATAATTCCAGCTTGGGGCGCTTCTGTAATTGAAGAGGTCCGCGCACGGCTTTTTCGACGGAGTCCCCTCTGTGACGCTATCAGGAGGCTGCGGGAAAGCTGAGGTGCAGCAAGCCTATCCTGAAGGAAGAATTTGCTTTGGCTTCCGCGCATTTGTCGCCCCCGCCCCCGGTCGCCCCCGCGCCTCAACTAGTGGATGCACTGTGCCTGTCTGAGCGCTTCTTCCAGGTGGGCCACTGGATTGATGTTCTGGTTTTTACGCCTAAGACTTTCAGGGTTGGCCAGTGACGTGCGAAGTTTGCCCACATCATCTTCTGCTGACGGAGGAAGATTTACCACCCGGTGTAAAAGAGGTTAGTTTAAACAGTCACACATTATTTGTCCATCTTTTAGTGGGACTGGAAATGGGTGGTCTAAATGAGAACTTAGAATAATTTTGTAGGTTCGCCCACGCCTGGCGACAGTCGAGGACAGGAACGCTCTTTGGGCCAATCTTGAGTATATTGACTGCTTCGCTACCGATCACGGTAAGTAAGAGCAAAGTAAAAAGGAGAAGTTCGATTCAGTCAAATTCACACTATGTATATAAAAATAAAATTCCAGCTCTATGTTGGCGCAATTATTTTATTACTCGATTTTGTAGTTGTTTCCACCCGTCTTCTGATAGGGGCGGGGTCAATAATGTGGGCTCGCTCAAGAAAGTTGGGAAGGAAAGTCCGGTCGAAATGGTATGTAGGTGGCGAAGATTTGGAGGGAATTGTTTTCTGCAAGAACATTTTCTGCAGCGACAAGGCCACGACAGGACCCCGCCTAGTGTCAGTGCGGTGTGTCGCCATATGCTCCGTCAGTTGGAACCGCCTCCCTTCAGAATCTCATTCGAAGCGTCGATTGACACAAACGAGTAAAAATCTGGGACAGAATAAGTCGCACAAATATCAAGTTTTTAACCAAGAGTTTCCCCTGTCAGTGTAACTGAACTTCAGCGAAGAGGATCTGTCTAATTTAGGCTCATACTTGGGCTGAAAACGATCCAGAAAAGGCTCCACCCGGCTTCCCTGGTGTGGAATACATGGTGCCACTATTGTTGACAGCGGTCTCGCAAGGAAAATTGACTATACGGTAAGGCTTTTCCGAATCTTTTGAGTGTGTAATAATTAGCAACTTACGCAGCGCTTTGACCTCTCCTCGAACATCGGTTTCAATTTTTTTGTTAGAATTTATTTTAACGCATACTTTTTAGGCAACTGCTCGACCGACTATACTACAATCCGAAGCGAATATTCGGTTTTACCCGACCAGCCAGACACGTATATTGAGGTGAGGTGGTAATTTTTTGATTTGCATGATTACGGTATAGATTGCGGTATAGCTGAGTATTTGGCACTATTTTTTTTTCGACTGATGGATATCTTCAGGTTGATCTGAATGAGGAGTGGATGATCCCTGAAAGTGGTGGAGAAAGCAAGGCGGGATGGACACCGTACGCGGGAATGAAAGTTCGAGGACGAGTCCAGAAAGTCGTTGTTCGGGGAGAAGAGGCTTTTGTTGATGGAGTGGTAAGTTAGTTTGGACATTTTTTGGGGCTGGTGTAGCAAAGGTACGCATACATTACCAGTTAAAAGATGGACATGTCATTGAGTTCCTATCAAGTTGTAGATTATGGTGATTCGATGCATTTTGGGCGCGGTGGGTCGGGGCCAGTGAGTGGTGGGGCGGAGCTAGTGAGAGACCCATGGCAGCGTAACCCCTGCCTATCTGCGGCTTCTTTCCTGCGCCACATAAGTGATATTCGTTCGCGTACCCCAGCGCACCAAGCTATTTGTTTTTGGCAGTGGAAGAGCAGCTTCATTGCTAAGTCAGTCAGCTCGAACACTCTTATGCGACACGTCGGCCCCTTAACGTGATAGATGACCCGTCATCTCTTATTTTTTCCATTAGCGGACTTCTGTTACATTTCTGACTTCTGTCTCATTTTCACTATCCACTTCATCTTTATCTCAATTTCATTCAGATCCATGCTAGGCCTGGCTTTGGCATGAATATTCGTTCGTTCACAAGAGCTGATGTGTTACTTGGTAGTTCGAGTAATGGTAAGTATCCACACTGACGTCGTTCAGACTTCGCGCCTGACGCGCGTAGCAGGCGCTACTAGCGGCGCCTGTAACACGCGTCGACGCGCTGCCGCTCCATTGTTATAGGCGGGAATGCAGCCGCAGTGTATTGATCGATGCAGTTCGCTGTTGCTCCTATGTTTTGATTAGAGTTAGCGCCGATGCCTAACACTCAGTCTGGCATCGATCGGCGCCGCCAGTGTTTTGGGAGAGTATAGAAGAATAGGAGGGTGCTAGATTGTGTGAAAGCAGAGTCCACCCCTCTGTTATCCTATACTCTCGGAACACAAGCGGCTGGCGCCCATCGATACCCATCCGCGGCTGCTTTTCAGCCTGGACGGCCCACAGGTGCAACGTGCGTCAGTCGCGAAGTGTGAACGCTACTAAATACTCCTTAATTCCTAGGAGTATAATGCGATTCATATTTTTTTGTCAAAGCTTTTTGCAGAAGTGGTCTCAGTCCTGGATCAATGCTACCGTGAATTGGCAAGTGGGGCACTGATGAAGCAACCGGAAGCTGAGGCGCAAGGTTTCGATGGAAGTATAGCCCTCCCTATCTTACGTTGTTCACAATTTCCGGGCCTCGGAGTGACGCTAGCTTGGAAGCGCATTTGACTTTCGTGGCATGATGCTCAAGCAAAGAAACGGCGTGAGTTTGGACGATGAACATGGTTTGGGTTGGGGGGGGGTGGTTGGTCAGAGTGTGAGGGTAGGAACGGAATTTCGTATTTCAGATTCCCAGATTAACAACATTTTCGGATGTGGCTGATGCGGTTCGCCGGTGAACCGTGTGAGAGGAAACAATCCCTTGACCAGGCTGTTTAGCTAGAGTGTAGGTTTTTGTTTTTAGTTTTGCTTCTTTCACGCAGGAAAAAGAGAAAAAAAGAACGAATAGGCTAAGAGGACCTCACCAGAAGCGTTGTAGGGGGGGGAAGGTGTGAAAGGCCGCAATACACATATGCTGATAGAAAGTATTAAGGTACACGACCGCGTGGTCTATCTCTTTTTCTAGAAGAAACGGACGGTTGGAGCGTGCTGTTGGTTCGAATGCCTTGGATCATCCCTTGCCGTCTGGTCTCTCGTCCGGGCGCTTAGTGTTTCTTCGTTACATGGTTCTATATTGCTGAAAATCTACTGCTATTTTTCTCGCTTTCACATGTGCTATTTATCACTTCCCCCCCCTGGACAGCTCGATGCGAGGGAAATCCCCCAATACAATTGATGCGCCTCTGGTTTCAGCAACGCTGTGCCATGAGAATAGGAATATACCGCTCGTCCGAGCTTGTTGCACATCTCGGGTAGCACGCAGCACTGTTTGGCAGGGAGTAACCGAAGTGGTAACTGCGGCGAAATATTGTTCGACTCACTTTGTGGAAGCTTGTGAAGTCCTCTGGGCAGAGAGAATGGCTGTCTGCGTTTAAATGTGCAATTTTGCATGAAGTTAACAGGTCTTGTCAAAGTGATAGTGGATCCACCTGTTAGTTAATGAAGAACTACGCAGGAGGAAAAGAACAAGCGGAGGTCGTTCAGCGTGGTGAGCTTTCAAAGACGATTGTTTCATGTTGTATGGGGTCGCATACAAGGACCAACACACAGATGGGTTAATTTTTTGGGCTAAAGGCTATTTAGAATGCCCAAAAAGGAATAAAAACATCGCTGCAAAATATCGCAAGTTGTTTGATCAATCTCATATTCGCATCTTCTGTTTCAGCTGTAAAGCAGAATACATAGAGTTTATAAAGTGTTCCTCAACTAGACATGAAAAACAATATTGAATAAGGTCGAAATTGAAGTGCTTTACTTTGCATACAGTGAGGTATACTGCAGTTTCTTTAGGGGTTTATGCAGCATCCCTTCGCGCTCGCAGTGGCCATTTAGCGCCACGCTGGCCCCAGATCACGTCGGCGCCATAAATAATTGTCAGAATCGTGATCAGGGCCATTGATTACCCCTATTTAAGAGGTTTCAGCGAAAAAAAAAAATTTTTTCGAGTTTTTTTGGTGGTCATGGACTTGACCATTTGGATGGCAGTGACAGGCGAACCCTCCATTGAGTATCCTCTCTGGCATACAAACCACCAGAAATTTTTCATTTCTTGCACTCTCAACTTCAGTAGGTTTACATAGAAACCGTGCTGGCTTCGGAGTCAGGTGGTAAAACGAGGCCTGATCCTGAAACTTTTCTCCACTTTTACTCGGTCTTCGTACTTACACCTGCCCGGAAAAAAAGATCTTGTTTCTCCCATATCAAAGGTATTAGTGGTGTGCAGTGTATGTGCCTCACTTTTTTTGTGTAGTTGTTAATTCTCGTCTGCATACTAACAAATGAAAAGGCCTCTCTTATAACAACCGTTGAATATGAGTCATTTTGGGGAGGGGGCGGGTGAACTGATAGCGCACTAGCTATTGGAGACATGGCAGGCATCATAACACGAAAAAACTCGGAAAAAATTTCTGCGGTAACTCTATACGTAGGGATAGTTCATGGTCCTGATCACGGTTCTGACACGTTGTATGTTTTTTGGCAACGTGAGGCCCAGTCTGGGAACCAGTATGGCGCTAAATAACCCGCCGGCGTAGACTGGACAATGATGCTAGTACGATGAAAATGCCTTTGGCATAGCCTAGAATTGGGCGACACATTGCGCCATATGAAAAAAAATGAGTGTCGATGTTCATGATCAGAGACATGCGGGGATAACCGTGGCGGTAACCCAAGTTTCAGTAGAGAGTTTCTTCGACAGTATTTCGCGAGCGTAATAATTGAGTGAGGCCCCGTTGTGAACCGTTCCCGCATGGAATGTGTCTTTAAATGGCGTATATCCGGGTCATACACATTATGGGGCATACAGGAATACAAGATGCAAGAAATCTGAAAAATGCAAAAAATGTGCCGCCAGGGGGATCCGAGATGCATAAACCAGGCGGGACCGCACCGAATAGAGCAGCCCGTCACGACTATTCATCACACGCCATTTGCCCACTGCGAGATGAGAAATGCAGGACGCTGTTGGAATAGAGAACTGCGCAGATGACTGGAAAACTCCAATGCAGCTCACTACATGCCAAGTAAAGCATTTGGATTTTGACCTTATTTTGCGCTGTTTTTCATGCCTACTCATAGGATACCCTACATACTATACCCTGTCAACGCTACAGCTAGAACAGAGGCGAATAAGGTGGTTTAAAAAGTCCATTCTTTTCGAATTATTTTTGACCTTTTTTTTGACATTCCCAGTACCGTTTAGCAAAAATGAACCCCATCTGTGTGGTCCTTGTATGGACCCCTACAACATGCAACAAACCGTTTTGAAAAAGCTCACCACGGCCTGAACGACCTCCCTTGTAAGGAAAATGCAAATTGCGATCCGCCCACACACACACACATCTCCGGCACCGGGACAGCGCTTCTCGGGATCCGCTGTCCGAACAGTGTATGGATTTAGTATAATGAGAAGGCTTCACGGGAACGCAAGTAAATCTAATGCTCTCACATTCCCACTCCACCCATTAGGTTTTTCTACGTCTATGGAGTCTTCGAGTGATTTTCGTTTTAGAGGGGTCAAATCTGCGGCTTATAAATTCTGAACTAAACATATCGATTCAGTTAGTTGAGTAATTTCTTCTCATTTAAGGGTTATGTGCTTGCGTCAATGTTTTACGAGGTGTCTACACGAACAGCAAGTTCGTTCTCAGCAGCAATGCAACGTCTCGGCGGAGGAGTTGTGGTCGAGGTGAGAGGTGGCTTCTCGTCGTCTGTACAAAAGGGAGAAACTCTTGCCAAGGTACGGACTTTTCTGCTTGAGAGCGCGTTCATGCTTATAGCGACGTGATCACTTGGATAGCGCCATCGAATCACCCGAGCGATTGGATCGCGCGGGTGATTCAGTCGCGAAGTACGAACGCGCTCTGACCGACTTGCATATTTGGATTGTTTGACTTTTAGATTCGGTAACAGTTATGTCGAACTATGCGGATATCGTTGTGCTACGACATAAGGAGACAGGTGCAGCTGCACGAGCTGCTACAGTATCCTCTCGTCCAGTAATCAATGCTGGTGATGGAGCTGGAGAGCATCCAACTCAGGTAAGGGCGTCGGTTATTTTGAATTTTCACGAGCGCCATCATGGGTAAGAGTAGAGTGGTATTAGTAGTAGCGCCCATTTCGTAGCCAATAATAGCCTTAGCCGGAAGTCTACATCTGTCAAGGACTTGTCACCATCCAAATCCTTCAAGACTGTGTCATGTCAAATCCGGACCGGCCGGGCACCCTTGTCGCACCAACTCTGGTAAGCTGTAGCACCTGTCAGCACCCTGCAAATCAAACTTGTCGAATTGGTCAATCTTGAAAACAAGTTCAAAAATATCAGATTTGTAGCACTACTTAGCTGCAGGATTTACCAGATGTTTACAGTACTTGACAAGAATTCACAGGACTTGCAGGGTGAAACACGACTATCTGGTTATTATCATGTGTGTATCTTGACCCGGTTGAACAAAGCTTGTATGCCAGCCGTTTGCAGGTGTGCTCCTTAGAGCCGTTTGCAGGTGTGCTCCTTCGGGCCTCCCCGCCCCAAATGAAAAAGTTATATATTAGCGCCTCCACTTCTACCTGCTCGGATCTTGCCCTAATCGATGTGCTGATAGACTCTTGGGCATGTAATGGGTGTTGGGCTAACTGAAGGACAAAACGCACTGGATCTCGCGCGCCATGCAGTTTGCGATAGAACCGAATTGCCATACAACTGGTCCGCAGGTGTTCGTGAGGTTGTGAGGCGCATTCCTTGAAGGATCGCGCCCACCTTTGGTTCCCTTCAAAAAGAGTATTTCGCTTATATATAAAATACCTTCGTATCTCGTAGACGAAGGGGCATGGATGTGGTACTTTCCTTGGAAAACTGCCGGGCGGCTGAGGTTCTTGGTGAAATATGGCCCGTTTTGATACAATACCTTAATTCGTTTTTTTATTTGGCAGCAAGATAGGAATGATAGTTGTCTCAAATGGAAATACCGTCACGAAAAAAAGACTTTGCGCAGTGTAACTGGAAGTACGGCAACCCGACGGCGCTCTCCAGCTGTAGGATATGAACGTGGAAGGGTGGAGGTCTTGTCCAGCAACGATTAGTGTGGATGGGAGTTTAGAATGCTGACAAGGCAGCCCTTTCAATCAATGATGCCATCCTGAGTCCGCAACAGTTGGTGGGGAAAGCTGTTCATGCACGCCTTTTCCACACTCCGTTGTCTGCAGGGATCACTCATACAACTTCTCGCATACTTAAAGCCCTCATTCCTGGCGCTCCGTGCCGGTGTTGGTTACGGGGATGAGGCCATAAACACCTGTCCAGAGTCCCCGCCCATCCAATTATCGCGGAATATGTTTTAGACAAAAAAATGGATCAATTCATTTTGCAGGCTTTGCTGGATGTGTACACAATCCGCCAAGAGATTGGCACTGTCAATGGACTGACAATTGCGATGATCGGCGATTTGAAACATGGACGAACGGTCCATTCTCTGGCGAAAGCTCTGCTGCTGTTGTTGTTCAAGGTACAGGTACTAGAATGATGTTTTGAAATGTGATTTGCTTTTATCTCAAAATTTCTAACGCCCTCGAATCCATATCGGCGCCAATGGCCTTGGAGGGGGCATTTGAAGGACTCTTAATACTACTTTAATACGGGATTGAGGACAACTGTCCGAGCTATGAGAGGTGAGGGGCGTAGGCGTCAGGGTACCGATTTCAAGTACAGTAACCCTGATCGGATGACGATGAAGTCAGTTTTGCACTAGGGCTTCCACAAGCACCCCCCCCCCTCCATCTCCCCAAAGTTTTCAACGCCTTCAAATTTCCCTTCCCCTCTATGGAACTTCTGTGATCGACTGATGCGTATTATTTTTAGGATGTTACACTCCACTATGTCACCCCTACAGCGGAACTTGGCATGCCAGAGTACGTGGTCAATTATGTGAAGAATCGGGGTGGTGTTCAGGTGAATGATTTTTAACGACCAACTACGTAGTTTCATAATCGAATCAAATGGCATACATTGAACTTGAATTTCATTCCAGAAAACTTTCACTTCTTTGGCTGAAGGTATTCAAAATGTAGATGTAATCTACGTGACAAGGATTCAGAAGGAACGCTTCGCTAACGAGGTCAGTGACGAACTGTTTCGCTTGAAATGGCTTGAACCACTGGGTAAACCAAATCGGGCGTCATATTTCGTCACTCTGAAATGGGGGGGGGTCGCATTTTACCTCGAGGGGAATATAATTGTTGACTGAGCCCGGTTCACGAGTGTTTTGCCTTCCTCCCTTAGTTGGCGGTGCCGCAGAACCATTATTTCTAATATTAATTGAGCGGAAGCAGACACTGTTCGGCTTGGGAGGCAATTTCGGTAGGGTAATTTGGGAAGGTTGTGAAGGCGAGTCATGCAGACTGGACCCTCCTTTTGGGTGGTCATTGCCCTGTCACTAACATTCTCATGCCCATGGCTGAATCGATGAGGTTGTTGCACCTTGTAGAAATAGCGAGGGACTTTTGGAAAGAATAAGGGGGTTCGGCTGTCAAGTAGTTAACCCTCATCGTCGAGTTTTTTCTGGAAACTGTGAGGTGGGAGGGAGGTCAAGTCCGCCTTTGAGGTTCAAATGGATCACTGGGAGCGGTGAAAATGGTGAAAGGTCTCACTTTACATGCTATGATCTTCTGAAGCGTACCAATTAGTTGGGGGGGGGGGGGAGGTGGCAGCATTGCGATGAATTAAGAATTTAAGAGACCTTCGAAGGCTCGTTCCGCGATAACTGCTTCGGAAGGGAAAATGGGCGGAGACTCACAGGCGTCCTACGTAAGCCTAAGCTCACTGGCACGTCTCTTCTTTTGATCGCTAGGGGGTTAAACAATAAAGAAAACCTATTGGCTACAGGTTTATCCCATTTCTAACCGCTGACATCGCATCATTCGTCTTAACGTCGGTTTGCGCTTGAGGAATATTTCTATGCTGGCGCGGATATTCTTTGGTGGGCATAAACTAACAGATGTAGGTGCAGTTTGGCTTTGTGGGAGCAATAAATGGTACTGAGCTAAGCTTGTACAGGTGTACTTGTGAAGGCCTGCCACTTTTTGTGAACAAAATGGTTCACTCGCAACGTTTTGCAGCTTCTTAGGAGTTTACAGGTCCACCAAAGCGAGACTTGTTGGTTAACATGAATTAACAAAAAAAAACTCGCGAGAGTGCAAAATGACTCCTCCAAGCCGAACATCCAAAGTCCAGTGTTCACCTCTTACCGAGAACGTTGCCGTTGAATTCTTGAGGACGTGCCGCAGCATTCAACAATTTGGCTGTGAGTACGTAACTTCCTTTCACTTTGTTATAGTCTTCCTAAACAAAATTCAAGATTAATTTATCCTTACTGATCCTCCCTCTCAC